AAAAAATATTTTTTTTTTAAATTTTATGTATAGCATAAAAAATACTTTTTTTCGTAAAATTATGTTACTATGAACCAAAAAATTTAATTTTAAAAAAGGGCTTTTTATGCCCACAGAACTTTTTTTTTTTTTCTAGCACGTAAGGATTTTTTTACAAATCGGGAAGAAGAAAAAACTCTAACTTAGATCATAGATCAAATTATTACACAATGAAATTTTTTTATTATTATGTTTGTTAAGAAAATTACAAATAAACTGACGAAAAGGGAAGAAGATTGATGTCAAACGAATATGCATCCTCATTCATCCTGTCATTCTTTTATGTCTTGCGTTATGACGTTTTGTGAAAAATATGTAAGCGATGGAGAAAAATGGATATCATTTTCGGATTCAGCGTACAGGAATTACTGTAGAACGTGTAAAAATCTCAAGACAATAAAACCGTCGTAGGCCTGTGTTATCTGTTTCAAGTACATTGGTTGTGCACCAGCGTTCTTGGTGAATAACTGAAGAACAGTGATATCAATCAATTATTCACAACACCAAATTATACATTTTTTTTTTCTAATTGATATACTTTTCATTATAATTTTTGTTTGTCTTTTTCAAAGCACAAATTTATTAATAATATATATATATATATATACTCACACATATATTCTTTTACGAGTTTCAATGTAATTAATAAATCCATCTAAAAATCACGAGACTTGTAAAATTTACTTTAACTAAAAAAAAACAAAAAACTCGCCTTTAATATATTTTGTCTTGAGCCCCCCAGTGACACAATGGTATGTCTGCGGACTTACAACGCTAGAAACCGGGTTTCGATACCCGTGGTGGGCAGAGCACAGATAGCCCATTGTGTAGCTTTGTGCTTAATTCCAAACAAGCAAACAAACAATTTTAGCTTGAATCTCTATTAAAATTAGTTTACTAACCTAAAAGAAGACCCCCTACAAATCTAAAAATTTCTGTCTTTTTTTTTTGTTTTCAGTGACAGAGAATCCCTAGAATTAGATAATGTTCCTAACTGGTTTGGACACGAAGCAATCGAGAAATGGTTTATCTGGGCAGAAGAAAATGCTCTGGTCTGGATATCTGGGTTAATTGAACTGGATGAGGTACTGGATGTCGGTTTGCTATTTTCTTTAAGCACTCTGATTCAAGCTGTTGATATTTAAATAAAGTACGTTCATAAATAAAAATATTTAAAAAACGGGTTATAAAAAATGACGCCGTATCTTTAATACTTTAAAGTTGGGTGTGGTCGTTTCGACAAACACGATAAACGTTTTTTTGTTTTTACTGTTATTACTTTGAAGTTGATGAACGTCAGTACGGCATTTCTTAGGCACTTATGTAGAATCGAGCCGTGATATATCATTTGAATAATATATTTATAAGGCGTGTCCTTTATTAGATCATCGGTACAACTCGTACATGTAATGTGCATATTTAATATAAATATATTTGGCATCTTTCTTGTTAAGGACCTGAGTTTCACTATAAAAACAAGTATTAGATGCTATAAACTAGTCGCTGTATAGTTTAAATTATATGAATAATCGTATTTATTGTTTCAGTTGATCATCTCTGTCGCCCTCTGAAACAGAGGCGAGTCTATGGACTAACAACCCTAAAATCCAGGGTTCGATTCCCCTCTGAGGACACCCACTGTGGCTGTGCTATAAAATAAATAGATAAACAAACAATCTCTTTCTTTTTCCTTTCAATTGCATTTACGTTGTTCCCGATTTTTTCCGGAGGGGGGGGGGGCAAAGAAGCAGCTTCAGACCATTTTAAACACACAGAATTATCTAAAAGCTGCACATTGGGTTAGTCTTAGTAGTTGGTATTTAAATTCACAACAGGTGACGTTGTAGAAAACAAATAATTGTATTTCAGCTCACTCAATTACATCACTGTCAAATTAGGACCGAGGAGGCTCACGTGTTAGCGTGCTGCGACACAGATTAGAAATTTCTAGGTTCGAGCCACGATTTGCCGCTGAGTATTCTCCAAGCTCTTTGCTATGGGCGGAAGGTGCTGCTGACTGGTTGCCCTTCCCTTTAGTCAATTGCTCTGGTTTTTTTCCTAAACACTAGGAGTGTCTGATATGACGTTTAGTCGATGTGTCGCTCAACTCCATTCTTAGTCTATGTGTCGCTTAACGTCATTTAGGTTGAAAATACCAAATATGTAAAACTAATGACGTTTTACTGTTTCGTTCTGGTGATGTCATACATTTAGTAAAAATAAGTTTCGGTTATAAAGATTTAAAATTATTGCCTATGTCATGAATATTGTTTGACTTATAAAAAAAGTAAACACTCAGCAAGTGATTGTTTTGTAGCTGACTTAAAGAGACATAGTTTGTAAACCTGTGTGTTTTGTTTGAATTAGATGGTCAGTGTGTAAATTTATAAGTTTATAAAAATATTTGTTAGCATGTCACGTTTACAGTATATGTGAAAAAAAATTATCAAAGATTGAATATTTTTGTCCTTCCCGGTTTGAGATATTACTTTTCCTTCCTATTACACTACTTACTTTTATTGTAATTACAGTAGTAAAAGAAAACTGTTAAAAGTGAATTTTTGGATTACTGTGTTTAAAGTATATTTCAAAATAACACTGTATCAGACTGATTACTGTATTTATAGTATATTTCAAAATAACACTGTATCAGACTGATTACTGTAGTTATAGTATATTTCAAAATAACACTGTATCCGACTGATTACTGTAGTTATAGTATATTTCAAAATAACACTGTATCAGACTGATTACTGTAGTTATAGTATATTTCAAAATCTGGGGGGAATATTAGTAGATGGTGTAACTTAACATGGTAATAGCATTATTTAAGGTAATTACTGGATATTCACAGATGGAGCCAGTTAATGACGAACTGAAATTTGGGCGGTCAGCACGAGACACGATGGACATTGTTCACCATAAAGTAGGTGTATTATTTTCTCTCTCGTGAAATCTATCAGTATATATACTGCTGTAATACTAAATTCAAATAAAAAATATAGGTTATAAAAGTTTTTAAGTAAATGTTTATTTTGTATCAATGACGTTATTAAGCAAAATTCTATAATTTGAAACTGTGGCCTTTCCTAGTTGCTTTACTTGTCGACTTTATAGATAACTGCATGGTAGCGCCACTGTTAACAAGAGGGAATCCTCAATAGCCGCGGCTGCAGTTAGATCCCAAATTGGTCAAGAGATGGAGCTATGAGTTTATACCTGAAAAGAAACTCGGAGCCATTCTATGATCCGCTATGCCGCGACTAAAATGTTTTTACAAGATAACTGCATGGTAGCGCCACTGTTAACAAGAGGGAATCCTCAATAGCCGCGGCTGCAGTTAGATCCCAAATCGGTCAAGAGATGGAGCTATGAGTTTATACCTGAAAAGAAACTCGGAGCCATTTTATGAGCCGCTATGCCGGGACTAAAAATTTTTTGCAAGATAACTGCATGGTAGCGCCACTAAAAGATAACTGCATGGTAGCGCCACTAAAAGATAACTGCATGGTAGCGCCACTACA